TTGCCAAGTTCCCCTTTAATTTAACTTGAAGCATTACACTGACAGGTTGAGGATTGTACTCAGCCTCTCACCTGTAACACGAACATTAAGTATTTTAATCCCACTGTGAATGAAGAGTAATCAGAAACCACGTGAGACACTCAGCTTTTATTTAGTTTTATAGAAACTGAACAAACTGTACAACAGAAACAGCTTAAATACAAATTAATTAACAAATTAACATTTGGTACAAAAAAAACGGACTAACTTGCAAATTCAGAAAAATAAAGAAAAACATCCCAAACTGTCACAGTGAAACATTACAGAATTCATTTTCAGGGAATTATTGTTTATGAACAATAAAAGTGTTTGTTCGCTCTCACATTATAACGTTACAGTGGTCCACGCTTGTCGGACCTTTTTACATCATGTACAAGATTAAATTCTCAGTTTGATTTCTACACTTTTAAAAACAAGTTAATACGTTCAAAAGGTGCTGCATCAAGAACCTAATTGTTAAGATACATAAAATGACAAGCAGCTTTTCTATAAAAAATTTAAGGCAACTTAGAATAAAATAGTCTCTAAAAATATAAAATAATCGCTAGTAGTTGAGAAATGGAAATGTTGCGATCGAAACGTCCTGGACGGACTGACTGAACCAAGAGCAGAGAAAGGGGACGCAAGATGACGACATTAAAAGACCTGAAATAAACAAAAACGACGTAAAAAACATGATAAAAATATTTGTTAATTTGTTTGTTAAAAGGTCCGATGCTATTGTCTCTCCAGTTGACCCTCCTACTACTCTTCCTGTTTGTGGTGATTCAAACTACTAAAAGAGGTCTTGTAGCTAACGTTTTTTAAAGCTATAAACTCTAATATGTAACCGTTACTGACTTTGTAGTAAAACTCGGCTCGTGTTTCCTCCAGAACATGAATGATGCAGCGCAACTGTGGCGGGAGAAAGGCACCCCAACTGTAAAGCTGCAGATGTTTCACCCACCCAGCTTTACTTTTTAACAATAAGAATAAATAAAACTCCCTTCAGAACTTCACGTTGAACTCGTTGATGGTTTCTGTTGAAGCTTCTGATAATGTCTCTAAAAGAAAGAAAAAACACAAACTGTGAGGACAAGTGAGTGTTTTAGTGTGTTTAAATGTGTGTGTGTGTGTGTGTGTGTCTGTGTGTACCTGGAGGTTGTCGTAGTGCATCTGGCTGCTGCAGTGGACGTCCTTGGCGGTGCTCTCATAGAAAACAGAGCAGAGGTTGCAGAAGAACCCAGATAAAGGGACCATGAACTCCTCACCTGCAGAAACAGGAGGGAAAAAAGTGATGAAACATTTGCATCTTGTGTCATTTTCAGATAAAATAGGAGTGTGTTAGTGTCTCACCGAGGGGGTTGTTGGGTTTGAATGCCGGCAGTTTGAGGTCAGCAGCGACAGAAGGAGACTGAGAACGAGATCTCTTTGCTTCGGGTCCGACAAGTTCCCTCCTCTGTTTACTCACAACTACAGAAACAACAATCCATAAATAACTGAGGCCCAGATAATCTCACATTAGATTTAAAGACATCAGCTTGGTTTGAAAAGTGTCCTGAGGTTACTTGTATTATGAATTGGTGTTATACAAATAAAACTGAATTGTAAATGGCTTCAGTCCGTCCTTCTATCAGCTCTCTGTACCTTTAATGTCAGCCCTGCTCTCCTCCTCTTCTCCTCCACACCTCCCTCTAGTGTTTGGTTCTCAGCAGAGGCAGCATCAGTGTGGGCTTGGCTCACTGCTTCCTCCTCAGTCTCAGTCTTCTGGACCTTCGGCTGGTCGCAGCTCGACAACGTAGACGGATCTTTGTCCAATGATGAGGAGGCGTCGAGTGAAGTGGGAGGCAGTACGTCAGATTCTCTCTCGTCTGTGGCGCTCACTTTTTTCCCTCTGGTAGATTTTCTTACTGTAATAAAAGACAATGAATTGAATGAATGAAGGAAACTGTAAAATACAAATATTAATAAAGTTTCCTGGTTTAGAGCTACATCACTGAAAAACAGTGAAACCAAATATTGCTGTTTGAGTATCTAGAGATTGTACACGACTATATAAAAAGGTATAGATGTCTGTGTTACCGGGGGTTTGTCTGGTTTTTTTCTTGGCTCTGCCTCTTGTCCTGGTTGTTACTTCCTTTTCCTCTTCTACCTCTCCCACCTCATCAACCGTCACAAAGTTCATAGTTTCCTCTAAAACAGGATAAATAAATTAAAGTTTCAGGCAAACATCAACACAGAAACCTTTTTACAAACAAGCAACAAACACTTTTACACAAGACAAAATATCTGCAGGTAAAAGGGTCTTTTGGTTTGAAATCACAATCAATAGTTCTCTTGAGGGTAAAATATACCTGTGTAAGTATACTTTACTGTGTACTGTCAGAATAACACACACCTGTGTCGTCATCGTGTTTGCGTTTAGCAGATCTTGATGTTTTCTCAGCTTCGCTCTTGCGTGCGGGACTGCTCGTTCCTCATCATCATCGCCAGCTTCATCTAGGAAGAGTCACAGAAGTCGTTAAAAACAGACAAACGAGACTTTTCAGCATCAGTGGTACTCTCTTGTTGTTTGTCGTTTTTATAAATGTTTTTTATACAAGGTATTCAGCGTAATGTTGAATCTCAATCTTACCTCTGGGTTAAAGGAGTCCTCTGATTCGCCTCCTGGGGTGGAGTGGGGGGGTCTTCCACGTGCTTCGCTCGGCCTTTCCAGTCCTCCTCGCTCCTCTACGAACTCCGTCCAGAGTGACGAGTGTCTGCAGCTCTCTCTCCGTGATCTCCCACGGCTCTTTCCTCTCTGGCGTTCATCTGCCCGACCCATCCAGAGTCACCAGGCTCCGTTGTGTCTACCTCCACCTCCTCATTCCCGTTCGCCTCGTCCTCTGCTGCTCCGACTCCTTTGCTCCCTGGTTCTCCTCTCCTCATTTTCCCTTGTCCTCTTTGCTTCTCGCTCCTTGGCTAACTGCCTCTCTTTTGTGGCAGCTTGCCTCTTTCTTAGTTCTTCCTCCTCTGCTGTGTCGTCAGGGTAATCCTCCTCCTCCTCGCTCACCTGGTCCAGGTTAGGGTTATCTATTCTCGTACCAGATCCTCCGGCAGCAGATGAACCATCTTGTGTCTCCTGGAAACCATCAACCATCTTCTTGACGACCACTTTTTCAGACGTTTCCACAGTTGTGCTATCACACGTTGGTGTTTCATGTTCCTTCCTTCCATTGTCAGAAACCTCTGTGGGTGTCAGCTCTTCTTGATCGTCTTCCAGAGAATCTACGATCTGATACACAGGCTCTTCCTCCTCCTCATTCTTGGCTGATCCTGCGAGAGATCCGCTGTCCTCCACAGAATCGAGAATCTGATATGTCTCCACTTCTTCTTCATCAGCCATTTTTTCAGATGCAACTTTCTTCAGTGTTAGATTGTCTTTTTTAGTTGTTTTAACTGCTTTCCTTGGTCTTCCCCTTTTACCATTGTGTCGTCCAGCGGGCCGATCAACCTTGACAACCTCGGCCTCCACAGAGTCCAGTATTTCAAAGGTAGCATCCTCCTCACTTACCTCTTTTACAATGTCACTCTTTTTTGTTGGTGAGCTCTCTTTCGGAAGGGCTTTCTCATCTTTCTTTGGTGTTGTTTCCTTGTTTAGTTCCTGTGACTCTCTGGCAGGAGTGTGCCTCCTTCTTGTTGGAGTTTTTTCTTTCAAAGTATCTTTGTTAACTGTTCTTTCCAATTTTCCTCTAGTAGATCTTGTTGTTACGGTTGGTTCATTATGTGCAGTCTTGTCCTCCACAGAATCTAAAATCTCATATGTATCCTCTTCGTCCCTGAAAGGTTTTTCAGACGCTTCTGTGAGATTCAATGTAATTCTATCCTCTTTTTTTCCTCTTGCACTCCTTCTTCTACCAGAAGTTTCTGTGGTGGCAGCCTCTTGAACCGGTTCATCATTAACAGAATCCACTATCTCAAACACCATCTCCTCAGTGGTCTCTTTGTCTTTTTTAGAAACTCCTGCAGTAGTGTCCCTCTTCGTCCGTGTCTCATACTTTCTAACCGTCCTGTCCTGTTTCTTCGATAGTCCATCATCTTTTTGAGTAGTCGCCCCCCGTTTCATGGCCCTTCTTTCCACGTTGTCCGTCTCTGACTCTGTGGTCATTGGCTGATCTTCCAAGGAATCAATTACCTGATATGTACATTCCTCTTTCTCTATGGACCTACGTTTTGGGATACCCTCCTCTGTTTCAGTCTGGTCATCAATTGAATCCAATATCTCAAAGGTTTCTTGTTCAGTACAATCATCGTCACGGTCTTGAAGAGTCTCGTCTTCATTTGGGATTTGGTCATCAGGATCTTTGCAGGATTCTGCTGGAAGCATTTTCTCTTTGTCCTTCTCTTCTTTTTCTTTTGTCTTCCCATCATCGTTGCCCATTGAAGCTTGTTTCCTACCTGTATCCAACACTTGGAAATTGTCTTTGTTATTTATCTCCTGATCTTTAACTGCATCATCAGATTTGTCGACTACTGGAACTACATCTTCCTCAGACAGTGGTTTCACTGTGGAACTGCCATCTTGGACCAGGCGACTGTCATCCTGACTTGTAGCTGCTTGTTCTTTGGTAACACTGTCTTCAAAAGAACCAACCAACTCCTCTGGGCGGGCTTTGCCTTTATCGTTGACGCTGTCAAAGTCATTCATCTGTTCATCCATTTGATCATTGAGTGAATCAAGGATTTGATAGTTTTCACCATCCTCCTCCTCTGTATGTTTGTCAACATCATCATCTTCTTCTTTGCTTGTCTTCTGGTCTTTGGAGATTGATGTTAATGTCAACACACTCAGACTCTGGGCTTGACTCAACTCAAACCCTTGTCCCTGTGGAGGTGGACGCATCTCTGATGTTTCTATTTTTGTCTCTGTTTTTGCAGCAATGCCCTCTGCTGACACTTTGTGGTCAAACATCGCCACTGCACACTCTGTGGCTTTTGCTTCTTTTCTAAATGGCTCTGGATTAGTCTCTATTGATGCTTTGACAGTTACTGCTGATGTTATCGTTTCCCTTTCATGCGCAGCGTAGGACGAGCGAGTACTACAACTGGAGGATGGAGAATTTGATGGTTTGGATGGAGATTTTGTCTTGCTCTGTTGTGCTTTCTGACCAGAAGAGGAAGGGATTTTAACAGACAGTGTAGAAGAAAAGGAGGAGGGCTTACTGACACTGGCACTGGCAAAGGACGAGGGTTTGGTAGGAGATTTGGAGGGCTCAGATAAGTCCGTGGACTTTTTTCGTGACACAGAGTTTGAATTAGAAGAGCTTGAACCTCTATTCAACTTTGAGGAGGATGAGGACGAAGCTGAGCCCTTAGAATGTTTCGAATATCTTTTTGGGGTCTGCCTGTTACCGGATGACCTTTGCCTCTTTCTTCTTGCTCTGGAGGAGGACGAGGAAGAGCTACGAGGCTCGAGGCTTGTGTCCTCTACGTCATCACCAACTTCATCAACAGTGACAAAGTCCTCCATGTTGAAAGTTGGATCATCAAAAAGATAGGCATGTGGAGATAAAGTGTCATCTGTAAAATCATCCTGAACCTGGATGGACAAAAAACAAGGATTTAATCACTGAAACATTGAGTCAGGTTACTAATCAGGATAAATACTGGTGAAAAGCACTAAGGAGAACTGTCATAGAGAAAATCATATCATCGGGGTTGACGGTTTCAATCCCAGATAAAAGGGAAAGTAAGATCAAAAGAGGGACTGCAAGGGGTTTGTGAGAAGATTAGGATTGTTTACCATTTCATGCCATCGAGGCCTGTTTTTATACCATCGAGGCCTGTCTTCAGCCATTACAGTTACAGAACTTGTGTTGTTTTTGCTGGGACACTAAAAAAAACCAAAACACTTGATTAGTAAAATGAAACAAATGTGAGGAAATGTATTTAATAACCTTACATTAAATACTTTCAGGCATCAGCCAAAATTAACAACAGTCTCCTGGACGCAGGCATGAAAACGCAGCATGCAACGTGGGTTAGTTTCGCGTCAAGGAAAACATGGCGGAAGGCAGCGACAACACTGAGTCTGGTCGTATATTTTATAAGAGTGCTGAGGAAAACCTGATGAAACTCTGTCTGCAGAACATCACTGTGAAAGGGGGCACCACTTCCAATCTTATGAATCATCTTAGTGACCACCACCCACTACTAGCGAATAGCTAATATAAGGTAACATTAAGCTCAAGCTGCAGTAGGCAAAACCTTCCGCCTCTCTCTCTGTTGCCATGAAAAGAGTCTACTATACTATACTATTTATGTATGTTAACAATGAATGCAGTACGTGTAGTGAGGGATGAGGAACATTTGGACGACTGCAAATCATTGAAGCTCAATTCCATCAAACATTCCATATCTCAGTTATTAAAGAATATAAACGCAGAAATGATCAACAGTATAGTGTTGTCTCACATTTAGATGCAAATTAAAGTATAAGGCTGGTGTTATTACTGAATCAATTCTTGAAGTATGAACAAAAAAAATTCTCAGGGTCATTTTGAGGTGAAAGTGAACTTGGGAGTCAAAAGCTTCACCAATTTATTGTCTGAAAAATGGTCATCAATTATTTTATTATTTGGTTATGGCCAAAACTATGTTTCATGATGTCACAGTGACCTGACCAACTTTTGACCACCAAATTCTGATCAGTTCATCCTCAAGTCTGATTGAACATTTGTGCCAAGTTTAGAAGAAATTACCAAAAAGGATTTTTGAGTTATTGAACATAATGCCTCCGGCCATGGCCGTCACTGAATGTGTGTTTGGGAAAAGAATGTGATGGAAAATATATTTGTTCTTTTCTAATATCATATCCACTAATATTATCTTAGCACGGGCCATTTAAAGCCATTGACTCTAAATTGACTCTGTATGTAAAAGTTGAAGAGTGAAATTTAAAGCCAGGCCTCACCTCCTTCTCCTGGCTCTTGGACCTCTCGTGGCTCTGGGACCCCTTCTGGCTCTTGGACCCCTCCTGGCTCTTGGACCTCTCCTGGCTCTGGGACCCCTCCTGGCTCTGGGACCTCTCCTGGCTCTGGGACCTCTCCTGGCTCTGGGACTTGCTCTCTCGGGCAAATCTGCGCTGGTGAACCGCCGCCATGAGAACCTTGAAAATGTCCGTGCTAATCTGTGGAAGTTCTACAATGGTTTCTTCAGGCATGGCAGCTGTGGCTGATGGGACAGAGCTGGGAGCAGCAGGGACTGTGTTTCCACTGGCAGCTGCAGAGGTCGAGGTCACATCAGCAGGAGCAATGGAAGGTATTAGTGACCCCTCGTCCTCCTTTACTTCTACTTTCTCTACATCTTCATTTGCCTTGGGACCAACAGTGGAGTGGATGGCGATCTCAGTTGCTGGTTTCTCACCGTCCTCCTCCATTGCTACATTATTGGTGGCGGTAGCACTTGGTCCTTCTGTGATTGGCTCAGAATTGGTGGATCCTCCAGGACCACTGCCGACTGCAGAGTTTAAGGTCACATCAGCAAGAGAAATAGAAACTATTAATGAGCCCTCTTCCTCCTTTACTTCTTCTTTCTCTACATCTTCATTTGCCTCGGGAGCAACAGTGGAGTGGATGGCGATCTCAGTTGCTGGTTTCTCACCATCCTCCTCCATTGCTACATTGTTGGTGGTGATAGCACTTGATCCTTCTGTGAATGGTTCAGAATTGGTGGATCCACCAGGGCCACTGGCGACTTCACAGGTTACATCAGCAAGAGAAATAGAAACTATTAATGAGCCCTCTTCTTCCTTTACTTCTGCTTCCTCTACATCTTTATTTGCCTCTGGACCAACTGTGGAGTTTATGGCAAGCTCAGTTGCTGGTTTCTCACCATCTTCCTCCATTTCTACATCATTTGTGGCTGTAGAAATGTCTGTGATGGGCTCAGATATGTTGGACCCACAAGGACCACTGGCTTGCAGAGCAGGTTGTGACCCATTATCCGAAGGTTCAGTAGAAGGAGGCTGGGTTTGACATTTCACAGCTGGGGGCTCAGGCACGACATTGATGGTGTCATCTTCAAAGTTTATTGTAATCTCACTGGCATCATCTAGACGCTGTTTTAGGCTCTTCAAACTAAAATTAATAACAGAAAAGGATTGTCAGTTGCAAGTTAAAGCAGGAGTGTTCTTACAAAATGGCTGAATGCAGCACTTTGTTAAAGAATAAGAAATACAGGTTCTTATTCATTGTCCCCGAGTTAATTGTTCAGTATTCTTGTAGTTTATGACAAATACAGCAAGTTGAGTGTTTTTATATCAAAATCCCTATTGTCTCTTAACCACGTTTCCAAAAGCCAAGCATATTTAGTTTACAATGATTTAAAAGCAGAAAATCTGCTGGTTTCCTCACATTGGAGAAGCTGTAAACGGAGAATGTTTTGCCATTTTTGCTTTACAAATTGCTTAAATGATTAAAAACATATTTGCCCATTAATTTTTTGTCAATTGACTAATCAACTAATGTTGTCTTGAACTCTGGGAAATAAATGTAACCAATGAAATGTGACTTGGGGCCACCAGCTAAAAAAATCACAATGATTACCGTCATGCTTTTGGTAACATGTCTCTATAAAGTGATATACTCACGTCTCGAAACGCTGAACTCTACTCCTGCAGAGAGAAAAAGAAGAAATTGGTGAGTTCAAGTGTGATGTTATACAATACCATGACGCAGAATTTTAAAAATAAAAAAATAAAAGGATACATGCATACCAAAGTTCGCGCTTTTGTAAAGATTCTGGTGAGAAGGTTTTGTATTTCTCCACCACCTTTGTTACACCGCTGGAATCAGCCATCTCAATGCAGATCTGAGGAAGAAGGAGGACAAAGAGTGTGAAATGACTGAATTCACTTGAAGATGTGAAACAAATGACACATCTGGATTTGTTGTTATGAATGTTATAATAATGTTAGTCTATGGAAGTAAAGAAAACCTATTTAAGACCTGTGTAATCTTCTAAGGCCTACAAAAACTAAACTACAGCAAATTCAATGCCCTTTAACACTTTTCAAGACATTATACCCTTACACAGCTGCTCTCTCAACACTAAAATATGAGAAGTGCAGATGTTTGTGTTCTTGTACCCTGTTGGCGAGCGGCAGGAAGCCGACAAAGGACGCGATGGACGACACCACTTCCATGACCATCCTGACGATGTCCACAGACGTCTCAGAAATCTCCACACACAGCAACCGCTCCTCCAGAGACTTTGGCTCTGGAACTCCCTAAAGATCCAGAAACAGTTGGTGGTAAGGCCCAAAGTTGCAAAGATAGCAGCTTACACTGGACTCAAGAACTAAGTGAATAATGACTTACAGCGTTGCTCCACTTCATCAGATTTTTGTACATCATCTCCTGCAAAAAAGAAAATTGTATTGTCATAAATGGCTTAGAAACATGAACCACATCTAGCAGGGACCTGTAGACTCTTGAGATTCACCAACAGAGGTGCCTCAGGAAACTCAAGTAAGTCAAGTAAGTTAAAAAAAAACAAAAACACATCAAAATGTCAACAACCTGTACCTTACACTCGTGTCCACACTACAAAATAAGTGGGTCTATATAAACCTCTTTGCCCACCTGAAGACCCACAAGGACTGTCATACTCGTCTGAGTGACCACCAATGATGATCTGATATTATTTCCCTCTGAAATTTCTACAGAAGAAATTAATTATTTGCAGTATCAACTGTTTCTAAAACTTGATTTTTCTATCCCATCCTGATTCTGGCACAGTAACACAGCCCAGAGTTCCCCTTTAGTGTCCATACCTCACTGGATTCAGGATTCATGTCTTGCAAGACAAAGTGGACACCAAGTTTACAGTCTTTGAAATTCTTTTTCACGTTAGCTCGGACAAAATCGCAGGACGTAGTCCAATTGTCGAAATGCACAAAAGCCTGGAGGTGTAGAGAGGAAAGACAGGAAAGAAAAAAGTTCAAACAGCTCCATTAAATTATACAAACATTACTATAATAAAATTATGATTACAATAAAGTTTGTGGATGTAACGGTCTTCCATTTCTACTCCTTACCCTCCTCTGCAGCGTTAAGACAATGACGTTGTAGTACAAGGACTGAAGGTTATTTTTGGGGAAATACCGCCAGACCAGCTTGGCCACGTCCTCATGCGTGTATTTTCCCACTGGTAAACCGGTCAACATGACTGTGGGCCTGGAACCCTTAAGTCTCGCCTCCTAGAAGAAACAATGTTCAAAGCCCCAAGTTTAATTCATGTGTCGTTAACAGTGATTCAACTGTTTGGTACGTGTTGACGTCTGATTAGATTGACATTGCAGATGAGCATAAACTGTGAGCAAGAAGCTCATATATCAGAATGTATTGAAAGAATAAATGTGAATAAGTTGGGCGATGTAGGTTTGAACGTGTAAAAAAATATGAGTTTTTTTTGGACAGATCTGGGGCTTTCTTTGTACACCAAAAAGAAGGTGTAGCCACTTTCTAAACAAACTTTGAGATTGGGTGAAATTGATAACACTGTCACATAAATCTAAATATTATCTCTCACATATGAAGATTGCATTTGCAAGAACATATAAAAGCCATTTTTCAAAGTGCATGAACATGATTTGCAAATTGAGCAAGATCACAAATTAAATTTTGACTGAAATAATGGTAAAACAATGGACAACTCCAACATACTCAGGAGGTTCACATACTTTCATGCAGCACTGTAGAAAGATAGAAAAATGCGATTACCTCAATGTCGTCCTTCCCTCTGACGGTCAGGTGATCTTGGAGTTAAAAATGAACATTGAAACACACAGTGAGAACATTAACATGGTAAATTTGGCAGTATTAAACCCACAATGATTACGTAAGACAAATGTCTCTCTTACCTGGGATGATGAACCAAGGAGACATGGTCGGGAAGAGGAAGGGACGAGTTCTCATCGTGACCCAAAATGGAGCAATGCTGCCATGTGGAACGCCAAATTGGACTGGCGGGACAGTTGCCTCAGCAACAGCATCCTTGCTGTCCGGCATGCCCAGCAACAGCATCCTTGCTGTCCGGCAGAGCGTTCTCAGGAAGTTTAGGTGCTGCAGAAACGACATACGAAAAAAAAGTGTCATGTTTGAATACATGTGAGGAGTGACAAACCAATAAAGATGAAGGTTTTTGGTTGTATTTGTTTACTCGTATTACGCTCTGAATCTTATTTTTTATTACTGCTGTTTTTAATGTGGATGTTAAGCAAATTTTTTAATGCTATACAAAGTAATTATTATAATAATACTAATACTTATTGTTATTATTGTTAGTAGTAGTAGTAGTAATGATAATAATAGTATATTATATGATGTAGCTAATCATTTTAACAACTTCTTTATTGACAAAATAGACAGTTTAAGGTCTTGGATGCAATTAGATGATGTTGATTAAACTTAAAACACTGTTATCAGTAAATAATAACATTGCATTTGTTAACCAGGACACAGTTGAGGAGCTGTTGCTCTCTCTATCTCCTGGTATTGATAACCTTTGTATCAAATGTTACTTTTATATCATGATTCATGGGTGTTACGTTCTTTTCCATTTCCTACAACAGAGACTTACGTAGTGATACAGAGCTGCTGCTTGGTGTGTTCAGCCTCTGAACTACATGTCCAGAGTCTTGTTTCAGCAGGCTGTACCAAACTCCGAGCCGATCAGCATCGCGAACAGACTCAAATTCTATAAATAACTGGAAAACACAAGCACACGCACGCAAACGTGACTTAACCGTTTCTTTTCAAGTATCTTACAGAAATGTATGTGTGCATTTATACCTTGTTGAGGAGAGGCAGGAAGTTCCTGACAAAACCGATTTTTTTCACTGCTTCTCTGAGGTTCCTGGTCTCAGTCTGTGAGATGTTCTTGATGAAGATTGTTCTCGATCCGTCATCAATCACAGGCTGAATGAAGAACAGAAAGTGAACATCCCAAAGGCGTGGACAGAGAGAGACACACAGAACTGCAATGCATAGTTGCAATTCATTTTGAATTCATTTGTTTTACATTACTGTTGATAAATTCCAGCTTTTATTACATTAAATATTTTGGTGAGACAAACGCATGAAGTAAGAATTCTTAAAAAGGGGGAGTTTTCACTTTGTAATGTATCTGAATGCACAAAGTTATATTCACAACCTCTTTTAAACTTTTTACCAACAAAATTTAAAGCAATTTAGAAATGACGAGGAATTCAGAGTGTGTGTGTGTGTGTGTGTGTTCATTACTTACAGACTGCATCACCCTCATCAATGATTTATAAAATCCAAACTAAAACAGAAACATCACAGAAGGCCTTGTTAGACTCCATTCTCCACAATACATCAGATCACCTACACCTAAAGAGTGCTATCAATACACTCTAGACAGCCTTTGTATGAATGGATATTTATATTAAATACTAAACCTGTAGAATATCTGATTGTAACGGCTCAAGTCAAGATTTTTTACATATTTCTGTATAATACAATTTCTATATATACACACACTATACTGAACATCCGCTATTATTTCCATATGTGCTCACCGGTTTCATTGTAATGCCGTTTTCCACTACATAAAATCCGAGTATGGACCTTTTGAAACCAGTGCGCTTTTTGGAGAATCTCAGTATTTCATGGACAGCCTCCGGTGTCGGCACCCGGACGAAGGCCTAAGAGGAAAAACGGAAAGAACTGTTTAATTCTCGTTTTGAGTCGCATATTACCTCATTAAATGTAGTTAAAATCTCACACAGGATAAAATATCGTGATCAGTGATCCAAAAAATAAAACAGGGTTTCTGCAGGTTAAATTTAAGACTTTTAAGCACCATTATGAAGGAAATATAAATTCTATATCATTGTCACATTGACAAAAAAACATCCGGAGGTTGCATACCGGAGTTTTTAGGATTTTATGTTGCTACTGTAAAGTGGGCCCTGCTGGAGCCAGACTTTGGTAATGCTCCTGATGTGAATACAGAACAATGAAGTGACGGCAGGCGTTTGCTGCTGCGACTCTAATGCCTTTAGATGTAAAGTTCAAACCAATGCAGATTAATAACCTGGTGCCTACCATGCATGCCTGAGGAACAACATAGAGGCTCTCATCTTCATGTTGAAACCCAAATGGCATGAGCAGTTTGGCAATGTCATCCTCTGTGTAGCAGCCATCGTAATATCTCGGCAGTTTGGTTATGAGCAACTGTTTCTTACCAGGTCTAAAAAACTGGAAAAACAGAGAAGAGAGGATTAATAATAATAATAATAATAATAATAATAATAAGTCCAGACAAGTGCACTTTGCATCTCTTGTAAACTCCTACTTCTATATTATTATAAACACATTTATTTAACAGATTAAAAGTAATTATAAATGAATTATTTATTTAATGATTTATTAATTTATTATATTTATTAAGTTAATGCCAAAATTGACCAGTGCTCATTACGAGAGGATGAGCTTCCGTAGCTGCAGTAGTGACAGTGAGTCATCAGCTCCTGCAGCACAATTAGCAACTCCAAATTTTAATTTATAAGTCTGTTATATCTCCTAAAAGACTGCAAATTCGTACAGAAAT